TTTTTTTTTTTATCCTTTTTTATTAATCTTTATTTATTGTCCTTTCTTATTTATTCTGCCGTTTTAAGTCGATTAATAAAGCATAAGTCCAAACCTGCTGAAATGTATTAAAACGCGGGAAATTTACAAGGAAATGGATTAATTAATTGACAACATTGCTGAATCAAAGAAATCGTCGTGTTATCACAATTTTTAATTGCTGACTCTTTAAACGCATGTATACGACTTTTAAGCTACGAATATAATGTTGGTTGTTGCTTTTAACGATCATTTTACATTTCATATTGATTTTCCAGAGGCAGAATGTTTCATAAAGATTTATTTCATATCTTCTAATACATTGAGATTTATTATTTTTTTATTTCGTTAATGTATCGTGTATTTAATGTTTTACATATATATATATATATTACATTCGTTTTAATTCGTTTCTCGATTTTGTAATTTTTATATTTCTTTCTTCAAGTGATCAAATAGCTTCTCATTCTTTCTCAACATTATAATAATTTTTTTTTATTTGTAAATGTATTAGATTATTAAAATGTTATATTAATGTATTATTAATATTACGTCACATCATATCGCATACTGATGAAATTTGTTTTCTATCTTACAATCAAATATCTTTTCTATCTTACATTAAAATAAATTTTAATTAAAAAAAAAATGACTAATAATAAATAAATAAATTTTAATTTTAAAAAATAGATAATTATTAGAATATTTTACGTACGTGCTTTTTTTAGATTTGTTGTGTATTAGTATTAGTGTTTGAAATATTTACTATCTAATCATTCCAAGTGAATTATGTATATGAAATAAAATAATGTCTAATTACATTTCAAATTATTCTTGGATTTATTTTGCACGTTGATCTTTTTATGAACTCAAAGTGTTGTTAATTGGATAATTTGAATAAACTGGATAAAAGAATAAAAAAGTATATTCATTGGAATGTTCTTACATAAAGAACTTTTCTGTTCAGATTTTTGTTCTTTTAATGAAGTTTCAAGTTGTACCATTTCTGTCGTTATTAATTTGTGACCTTCGCTAAAATAGAAAAAAAAAAATAAAAAGTTAGTCTTTTTTTACATTGTATTTTGTATGTTGATTGAGCTATTAGTATTATACAATATTAATATGAAAATTTGAGACGTTAAAAGCTTGTTAGAAGAAATTTATTTTTCTTAGGAAGAGAAATTTGATATTAAAGGAGGAGTTTCAATTCCTCTTTCCTCAATATTATTCAAAATACTATAAATACAGCATAAGAATGCTCATTTCTACTGGTCACTTAAACAATATAATTGCAGATTTTTCTGGTTTCACCATTATTCTTCGGCCAATTCGTCAGTGACATTTATTACAAACGAGGAACATATAAATTATCACGTCGCTAAATGGAATTGTACTTGAACTTGCACTTCTCTCTCTCTCTCTCTCTCTCTCTTAGTCATCAATATTTCGTCGGCAATCCTATTACAATTTTTTTTATTTATAAATATCTACACACGTCTAATATACATATGTACATTTAATATAATGTACGCGTGTGAAATATATAATATACACGCAACACGTGCAAATAACTACATACAATTTTACATGATATAATTCTAATTTCTAATTTTACTTTAGTAATTATCCTTCTAATTTCTTTACTTTAGCAACTTTTACTTAAACCAAACAGCAATATAATATATACATTACATACTTCTATAAATTATTTATATATAACACACGCACGCACACACACATATGCATATATTATTATAATACACTTAGTGTGCATACTCACTATGACTGAACATTTTCTTAATTCTCGTAAGCTCTACGGTAATCTTATCAATCACCTACTAATATTTCGATTAATAACGAAAGATTATTATCCATAAGATTTCCATTGTTCGTTGTATTTTCAATTTAGCAAAGTTTAGTTACATATATATTCCTTTGTTAAAATGCATATTTTTTAACACACACACACAATTTTAACCACTAAAGATTTTTTACC